TTTATCAACCACCAATGCCCAAAAACACCACAACACATTTAAAAAAAATCAACAATTACTAAAACATACGGTGTGACAATATCCCCTTTGGTAAATATATATATATATAGAGGAGGGTTCAAACGACACCGGTGTAACTTTTAATAACTTTATATTAAATGTGAATTTTGAAAATCCAGCCGTTAGATTGAAAGTTCATATCTCTTAGATCATATATCTCAAATTTTATATTAATCTAAGATGATTTGATACTTCATTCTCATAAAACAAAATTGACGTAATATATACATTTTAAAATATACTAAAATATGAACACTTTGATTACCTTCAAGTTGTTGTTGAATTTTAACAAAATTTGACATATATGATCTAAGAGATATGAACTTTCAATCCAACGGTTGGATTTTCAAAATTCACATTTAATATAAAGTTATTGAGCGGTGTAACACTTAGTTAAAGTTACACCGGTGTCGTTTGAACCCTCCTCATATATATATATAATACGTGAATTTTTTATTTTTAAAAAGTTAATCTTTTTCTTTTGAATATATTTTTAAAAATTCTTAATATATATACAAAATCTTTGGTTCGATAAAGATATTTTTTTGATAATCTTATAAATTATGACAAAATAAGATTCTTCACATTTGTATATAAGTTATCTATGTTTTAGAAGGATATATTATTTGTATCCATAAATTTCATACTAAATCTAAGAGGCTTTATGAGAAGCAAGGTGAATGAAAATCCACAAAATTTCTCTCTATTTCAACAAACATAATTTTATTGTATTTTGTTCACTTTTATTTTAATTCTTATGAAAAGATTTGAAAAATTTAGACCAATATTTTTTTAGACAAAAAAAAGTAAGTTAACTTATTAGATTATCTATTTGTCAAGAACACTACACTTAAGATAAGGGAAAAAAAGTAAAGATAAAAAGAAATATAATTTACACATTATTTTATTTTATTAATTTAAAAAATTGGTTGTATAAAAACAGTCAAGTAAAATGTGAAGTTTTAATTAGTCTATCCATTGACCGTCTATTGTGTCTCTTTTCCTATCTTATATATTATATAATCCATATTAACTATACTTTTCTTTTTTCATTTTTTCCCTCTTTACTCTTTAGGTGTTAACTAGAAATCCATACCCACCCATTTTTTTCCTATTTGCTTTAGTGAGTATACCTGATATATCATTTGATCTTATATGCGGTCACCCGTGTTGTGCTAGGCTCTAGGGATATGGCATGATTACTAGCACTACATATCCAAACATAACTGCCTTCATTCGGAGCTGGCGTAAGCAAAATCACAAACTCTTTTTTCAACATATATATGAATGATGGTATGATTTTATTTCATTTCTTTTGTTAGATAACGCTGCGACATGTTCTGGCTAGAGGAATTAGCACGTGTGGTCGTTCTATATCAATTAATTAGACTAGAAAAGGATCTTTGGTCGAAAGCAATATGTTGAACAAATGACTCATCAACAAATTAACATAACACACGTTGTTCAGTGCGGTCGAGAATCCGAGTAGAAAGTCAAACACGAGTGGTGCCAACTACTGTTTCATGCACTATGAAGCAACTTTTGAAGCGTCCCTCACCGCTATAAATTAGTTGCACTTGCCTTGCCTTCGCTGCAAACTAAACCAATTTTCTTTGTCTGTGTAACAAAGAATTAACACATCAACAAATCTACTCATCAGAACCCAATAGCTAGCTCTGGCTACAAGATGAGTCCATTTAGCCAAAACCACCAAATTTTTGTTTTGTTTCTCGTTCTCACTGTGTTGACATGCCACGTCATGTCTCGCAGGTTGTCTGAGACCTGCACATCGGAGAGACATGAGAAGTGGATGGCACAGTATGGTAAGGTTTACAAGGATGCTGCTGAGAAGGATAAACGTTTTCAAATATTCAAAAACAATGTGCACTTCATTGAGTCCTTCAATGAAGCTGGTGACAAACCTTTTAACCTTAGCATTAACAAATTTGCGGATCTTCACAATGAAGAATTTAAGGCTTTACTAACTAATGGTCAGAAGAAGACACATAAGGTGGAGATTGCGACAGAAGCATTGTTTAGGTATGACAGTGTGAGTGTCACTGATATTCCTGCTACCATGGACTGGAGGAAAAGAGGTGCTGTTACCCCTATCAAGGACCAAGGCACATGTCGTAAGATTCTGCTTTCCTCGTTCCACCACTTCAATTATAATTCATTGGTGCTTAATAAAAAGGAACATGTTAACTCGTGTCTTTAGTGCACTGGTTAAAGAATTAAAAGTAGAAATTTTTTATTGAAAAATATATGTGTAAATTCTCTGGCAGAATTTTATTTTAGTTTTTAATGAAAATTTTCTACATAATTTCCTAACAAGTGTCTTAAGGGCACTGGTTAGAAAGACCGAATAAAAACTGTGCTAATATACATTAACTTTGTCTTGTTGTGAAAACAGGAAGTTGTTGGGCATTTTCAACTGTGGCTACAATTGAGGGTCTTCATCAAATAGCTACAGGTGAATTAGTGTCCCTATCAGAACAAGAACTAGTGGATTGTGTTAAAGGTGATAGCGAAGGATGCTATGGTGGTTATGTAGAAGATTCCTTTGAATTTATTACCAAAAAAGGTGGAATATCAAGTGAAACATACTACCCCTACAAAGGAGTTAACAAGACTTGTAAGGTTAAAAAGGAAACGCATGGCGTAGCTCGGATTAAAGGGTACGAGAATGTTCCTGCCAACAGTGAGAACGCACTACTGAAAGCTGTGGCAAATCAACCTGTGTCAGCTTATATTGAAGCTGGAGGATATGCTTTCCAATTTTATTCGGGTGGAATTTTTACAGGAAAGTGTGGAACTCATATTGATCATTCTGTTACCATAGTTGGTTATGGGAAAGCTCGTGGTGGTACTAAGTATTGGCTAGTAAAGAATTCATGGGGCACTGAATGGGGTGAGAAAGGGTATATAAGGATGAAACGAGATATACGTGCCAAGGAAGGTTTATGTGGAATTGCTACAAATGCTTTATATCCAACTGCTTGAGTGCTGCTATCAATCCATAAATAAGTCTTATAGAGTTTTGGTATAAGCACGTCATATCTCTAAACATAATTTTCTTTTCTAGCAGTATATGCAACTGCTAGTATTCCTAATGAATTCTGTGTAAACGTTTGATTTCTACTAAATAATGAAATATAAGTTATATAACTATATTCTGTGTTCTTTTACCTGTTGTATTTGTATATAGTATATTTATAGAAGTAATTGTTTATAACTATAACTGTAAGTTAATTGATTCATGTTTTTTCTAGATTTCAGGTTTGAGTATATATAAAACTATTGTCAAAAGAATTTGTTTCATCATATTATGTTGGGTACAGCTTTCACCCAGCTGCCACCACCTTTCGGTCCTATATGTCATCTTATTTCTTTTTTGACATGGCATTGGTTTTCACAGGCGAGGTTGGAGGTTCCTATTGTGGACCTTCCAGATGCCGAGCAGGGGACGCCGGCTTCTGCCTCTGTTGAGGCTCGTGG